TGTTGCTGTGATGCTGGAAGCTATGCCACCAGGATTTCAAATACCAGCAGATTCACCCATGGTGGACAGGTTTTTGTGGAGCTTTCAGACTAAGATAGACTAGAAAGGAAGACCTGGCGATCTACTTCTGAAAAAAAATTGGCCATCAAAAACCTTATGGATAGCAGCAGAACATTGTCTGATATAGTGCTGGAAGATGAGGCCCCCCACCCTCAATTTGGAGGATCCTCAAAATATGACTGGGAAAGAGCTGAGTCCTCAAAGTAGAGTCAATCTTAATGTGGATGGAGTGAAGCTTCCAGGACCTTCATTTACTGATGTGGCACCATTCAAAATGAGAATAAAGAGCTGCAAACATCCATTAATAATTGTACAAAGAATGAATCTAGGAAAGTTGGAAGTTGTCAAAAATGAAACAGAAGGCTTGAAGATTGATATCCTAGGCACTGGTGAGCTGAAATGGGCTGGTACTGGCCATTTTGAATCGGACAGTCATATTGTCTACTATGCCATAAATGACAAATGGAAGAGGAATGGCATCACATTCATCATCAAAAAGAACATTTCAAGATCTATCTTGAAGTACAATGCTGTCAGTGGTAGGATAATATCCATACACCTGTCATGAAGACCAGTTAATACGACTCTTATTCAAATTTACGCACCAACCACTAATGTCAAAGATGAAGAAACTGAAGATTTTTACCACTTTCTGCAGTCTGAAATTGATCAAGCATACAATCAAGATTCATTAATAATTACTGATGATTGGAATGTGAAAGTTGAAAACAAAGAAGGATTAATAGTTGCAAAATATGGCCTTGGTGATAGAAATGATGCCAGAGATAGCAAGACAGAATTTTGCAAGACCAACCAATTATTCATTGGAAATACCTTTTTCTCAGCAACATAAATGGGGACTATACATGTGAACGTGCCAGATGGAATACACAGGAATCAAATTGACTATATCTGTGGAAAGAGATGATGGAGAAGCTCAATAGTATAAGTCAGAATAAGGCCAGAGCAGATTGCAGAACAGATCATCAATTGCTCATAGACAAATTCAAGTTCAAGCTGAAGAAAATTAAAACAAGTCCACGAGAGCCAAAGTACGATCCTGAGTATAACTCACCTGAATTTACAGACCATCTCAAGAATAGATTTGATGTATTGAACACTAATGACCAAAGATCAGACTAGTTGCGGGATGACTTCAAGGATATCATAAATGAAGAAAGCAAAAGGTCATAAAAAGACAGGAAAGAAAGAAAAGACCAAAATGGGTGTCATAAGAGAAGCAGAAACTTGCTCTTGAACATAGTGTTTAAAGTGAACAGAAGAAACAATGAAGTACAAAGAGCAGAACAGACCATTTCAAAGTGCAGCTTGGGAAGACAAAGTAAAATATTATAATGAAATAATATTATAGGCCTAGAGTCAGAAAACAACAGCTACCTGGACAACTGACTGGAAAAAATCAATATACGTGCCCATTCCAAAGAACGGTGATCAAAGAGATTGTGAAAAGTATCCAACAGTATCATTAATATCACACCCAAGTAAAATTTTGCTGACAATCATTCAAACATGGTTGCAACAGTACATCAACAGTGAACTTCCATAATTTCAAGCCAGGTTCAGAAGAGAATGTGGAACAAGGGATATCGTTACTGATGACAAATAGATCTTTATTGAAAGCAGAGAATACCAGAAAGATGTTTACCTGTATTTTGTTGACTATGCAAAGGCCTTCAGCTGTGTAGATCATAACAAATTATGGATAACATTGCGAACAATGGGAATTCCAGAACATTTAATTGTGCTCATGCAGAACCTGTACATAGACCAAGAGGCAGTCATTCAAATAGAACAAGGAGGTACTGCCTGGTTTAAAATCAAAAAAGTTGAGCGTCAGCGTTGTATCCTTTTACCATACTTATTCAATCTGTATGCTGAGAAAATAATATGAGAAGCTGGACTATATGAAGAAAAATATGTCATCAGGATTGAAGGAGAATCATTAACAACCTGTGATATGCAGATGACACCACTTTACTTGCTGAAAGTAAAGAGGACTTGAAGCACTTATAGATGAAGAGCGAAGACTAGAGCCTTCAGTATGGATTACACCACAACATAAAGAAAACAAAAATCCTCACAACTGGACCAATAAGCAACATCATAATAAATGGAGAAAATATTAAGTTGTCAAGGATTTCATTTTACTTGGATCCACGATCAACACCCATGGAAGCAGCAGTCAAGAAATCAAATGACATATTGCATTGGGCAAATCTGCTGCAAAAGACCTCTTTAAAGTGCTAGAAAGCAAAGATATCACTTTGAGGACTAAGGTGAACCTGACCCCAGCCATAGTATTTTCAATTGCCTTATATGCATGAGAAAGCTGGACAAGGAATAAGGAAGACCGAAGAAGAACTGATGTCTTTGAAATTAAGTTGTTGGCAAGGAATATTGAATATACCATGGACTCCCAGAAGAATGAACAACTCTCTCTCAGAAGAAGTACAGCCAGAACGCTCCTTAGAAACAAGGACGGTGAGACTTCATCTCATATATTTTGGACATGTTATCAGGAGGGTTCAGCCCCTGGGGAAAGACATTAGACTTGGTAAAGTAGAGGGTCAGTGAAAGAGAGGAAGACCCTCAAGGAGATGGACTGACACAGTGGCTACAAGGATGTTCTCACACATAGCAAGGATTATGAGGATGGCGCAGGAATCGGCAGTGTTACGTTCTGTTGTACATAGGGTCGCTAGGAGTCGGAACTGACTCAATGGAACCTCACAACAACACTATTTTGTAAGAAATTGCTTACAATAATCTTGCAGTTGATTTTGATACCAAGAGTAAGATATATCGGTCATCTTAGAGAATGTCCGTGAGAAGACTACAAGATTTTCAGGAGAGTTTTTTTCATACTCTCTCTTCATGGTACTGTGCCTTTCGATCGATTGAATCATCTAAGAACATCGTTCAGATCTTATTGCACTTCTAGAACATGGGGCATCAAATAGTTAATTAATTCAGTTAAAATTTAGCACCTACTTTGTTCCAGAAACTCCTATTTCTTTCTTATAACAGTAGCATTTACTAGTAAAGACTTCCACAGAACAGAGTGAAAAACATCTATCACTGTGCAAATATACAGATGAATAGGTATCTTAACAGAGTTAGTCTCTCGAAAACAAATTCCCATAAATACTGAACTTTTTAAAAGACATCCATGTAAAGGTAATAAACATAGTCTATAAAGATGTTAAGGTAAATAAGATGCAGTACACATTTTATTCAATGATATAAAGAAAAAGGACTTAGACATTTTATTACTATTGATATAATGATGTTAGTATTATTGTCAATAGTTGCTGCAGTTTTCAGATTTTCTAGCAGTCTCATGGGGTTAAGTTGTTGGTTCAGTGGTGAAATTCTTGCCTTCCATGCAGGAGACCCAGATTCGATTCTCAACCAACGCACTTTATGTGCAGCCACCACCCATCTGTCAGTGGAATCTTGCAAGTTCCTATGATGCTGAACAGGTTTCAATGGAGCTTACAGACTAAAATGAACTAGGAAGAAAGGTCTGGTGGTCTACTTCCAAAAATCAGGCAATGAAAATGCTATGGATTACAACAGTTTGATCTGCAACCCATCATGGGGATGGTGCAGGACTAGACAATGTTTTGTTCCATTGTGTGTGTGGGGGGGGTCACCGTGAGTCTGGGGCTGACTCGACTGCAACTAACAACAATAGCCAGTGTTAAACACTGAAAAAAAAATTCTGTCATTGATTCGCACAACGTATTTCTATACGGTAGGTGTTACTGCCTTCATCTGACAACTGAAAAATACAAAGACCCAAGAGATTAAACAATTTGATTAAGTTTATCCAGAAGTATATGGCAGAGGATGTTGTCCTGCACAGGTAACTTTCTGTTGTTACAAAGCCTAATTAAACGTTAAAGATGTGTTTATGCTTATTGATTCATTCATTCAACCAAATTCTTTAAATATTGATAAGCAAAATATGGTATAAACTGGGATGTGCTGGAAAATATTTGAAAAATGACTACCAAAACAAAGTGTGTATATATTATTGCAAAGTATAAACTTATTGATATGAAAGGTGCATAGCACACAATTTAAAAATAATAAGATGTACAATATTCTTTATTATAAATTTAGTATATCCAATTGGTTCTTACAGAATGCTTTTGTTGAATTTTAGTAAAATTTTTATCCATAGCCAATGGTTTCAGTTGATCAATGAGTATAGTTCCAACATGAATGTTGATTGCCATTTTCTGATTTCAAGCCCTGGTGGCACAGTGTTTAAGAGCTCAATGGCTAACCAAAAGATCGGCAGTTCACATCCACCAGCGGCTCCTTGGAAACAGTGTGCGGCAGTTCTACCCCGTTCTATGGGTCGCTATGAGTTGGAATCCACTCGGTGGCAATGGGTTTGGTTTTGATTTTAAAGCAACATGACTTAACGTGGAGTTGGGAAGAGACGCACAGTAGCACATCATTATATAACATTTCACCAATAAGCGTAAATAATCTCAAGACATAGATAAGAGTAAAATGGACTGAAATAGAGAGTGATGAGTTCTGGGTGCTTATTATTTTTGCTTTGGATATAATTTATTTCACTGTGAATTTATGTAATTTCATTTGTTGATAATAATTGTATTTAACAAACACCTAACAAGATTCCTTAACATTTAATATTTGCTCCTGCAGGCTGGTATGATCCACTTCCGGCTCACACCGGTTAAGAAAAGTTTTCAATTAATCAAGCGCCCCCACCCCCCCATTTCCAGAGTGTTTCCTACTTCAAATTAGTGAGGCGTCATAGTTCTGAGTATGTGAGCAGAGGACATACTATTATCAAGAAAAATAGATATTAAAATAGATGATACTGGGCAAAGAGTTCTTCCTTAAAATTTATCGCTATTTTTGTGGTTTATTCACAGGCATTTCCCTGCATCTCAACAGGCATTTATGGTAAGTGATCTAATTTTCAATGATGTTTTTATTTTTTATTTTATTTCCTTTGTGTGTATGTGTGTGTGTGAGAGAGACAAAAAGGCAGGATTAACTGGAAAAAATAAGAGATTCTCTGATGAATATATTTTGTTTGATTTAAAGAGACTCAAAATGCAACTCAAATCTGATTAAGGAATCTTAAGAGGCTATTCAGATTCCTTTGTGTTCTTGAATTTTGTTTTATTGGATACTACATGAAATTATTTGATACACTGCGTCTTAATGTTTTTTTAAGCAAAGTTTTTTTCCTAGTGTTATTTGATGTCTAATATAGTTTTCCTTAATAAAGTTTCTCTCAGAAGAATACTGCACAGTAAAGTTAGTGTTATCATTATTTTTTTGCAAATTATAAATAACAGATGAATTAAAATGCACACACATGCGTATATCTGTATATTCAAACTTTTTAAAAATCCAAAGAAGTGACTGTTAATAAATAAAATGAATTTTAATAAACTGCAAATATATTTTCCTGCTATTAATGGATTGTTTTAAATAGTGACTGCTTCACTTAAAGATGGAAGTGGAATGTTTTTATAATCACTTATTTTGACAAGCCTAAAGCTCTCTAGATATTCTTGCACCTGTGATGACATTTTTCTATGCTGCTTTTCTCAAATCGTCAGTAAGTCTGTTTTAAAGGTAAAATGGGGTTATTTACCATTTTAGCTTTTTCTGATTCAAGCAAAATAGATCTCAACCTTTCTGAACTCAAATTTTTCACATGGAGGCTCTTAACTGAAAAATAAAACATAAATGAATCTAAAAAATTGTTGAAATCCACTGGTACGCAGCAGGGGATATCCAGATTGATGTCAAAGTTACTCATTTCTTCTTTCTGGTATTTCTTTTGAAAGTCTTGGCGAGAATAAAACGATAACGTAGGCCCAAATCACTTTAAGTAGGGAGGGATTTGGTCACACTTTAAAAAATTAAGTCATACCCTCTTCCTCTCTGGATTCCACTATAACTTGTCTTTGTAGGACCCGATGGACATTGGGCTGGAAAAGGGCTAAATCAGACCATCGCCCAGTTACTCATCATGGCCATTCTCTCTGCCTCACAGTTAGAAATCTTAAATGTGTGCTTAAAGGAAGCAAATTTTGCCTGGTCAAGAGACCAGCTCTTCATTTCAAACTTTGTCTGAAGTCAAACCAGACTCCATTGCAGAAATGATTTCATTAGGAGAATATTCTTTCATAATAACCTCGATTTTCCTTGACAAAATAAAAACAAACACCGAACCACTTAAAGGAATATTTTTGTACATCACTGTCTGTGTTTATTACTTTGTCAGATAGTTGATGTCTGTTTTTCTTTTTCCCTTCTGAGAATCTAATAGTAATATGCAAAGAACTTCAAAAGGGGATTTTATCTAACACGATATGTGAAAAGAAGGGAGCAGCAAGGAAAAAAAAACACACAAAAGGTAAAAGAAGATAAGAGGAGACAATAAAATTAGAGGCTTGTGAGAGGATTTATTTTAGATATTGCTAGTTGCTGATGACTTTGACTCATGGCAACCTTAGGTATAACATAACAAAACATTACCCAGCGCTGCGCCATCTTCTTGATCATTGGTATGTTTGAATCCATTCATTGTTTTGGCTATTGTGTCAATCCATCTCTTTGAGGGTTTCCCATCAGTTTTGCTGACCCTCTACTTTACCAACCATGATGTCTTTGTCTAGTAATTGGTGTTTCCTGATGACAGGTTCAAAGTAAGTGAGCTGAAGTCTCACCACACTTGCTTCTAAGAAGCATTCTGGTCCTATTTTAGTCTAAGGATAATATGTTCATTCTGCTGACCATCCATGGTATATTCAATAGTCGTCATCAACACCACAGTTTAAATGCATCAATTCTCCTTCTGTCTTCCTTTTTCATTGTCTAGCTTTTGCTTGCATATGAGGAAATTGAAAAGATCATGGCTTGTCCAGGCACAACTTACTCATCAAAGTGACATCTTTGCTTTTCCAAATGTTAAAGAAGTCTTTTGCAGCAGATTTGCCCAATGTAGTATGTTGTTCGATTTCTTGACTGCTGCTTCCGTGAGCATTAATTGTTGATCCAAGTAGAATGAAATCATTGATAACTTCACTTTCTTCATTTATTGAGAGAGGATAGTAAGAACTAAATTAAACTTAGACTAAATTGTGGTCAATTCTAATCCCTGAAGGACAAGGATTTCTTCTTAGAGAGAGTAACATGGCTCAAAATATAACTGGTTAAAATATTCCATTGTGTTGAATGAGAGGAAAATGTTGAAGAACGTTGGATAGTGCATTAATACAGTGAGTCATAGGATTTGACACCAGATAAGCTTAGTTAATTTTCACAATGCCTGGTCAAAGAATATAGTTCTCAAATCCCAGCTACTCATCTATTCACCCCTCCATTTTTTTTCTTAGTAAATTTAAAAGTGAGGCCCATACCCTCCAAGGCTAAGTCTTATATTGTCTTTGGTTAGCTCCACTGGAGCTTGAGACCTAGATTTATTTTTATGACCATGAGATACTGTCTTAGTAACTTTTAGATTAGTACTCTAAGTCTTTGTACTTGTGGACCCATTTAGCATTAAGCAACGTGAAAATTATTTCATATGTCCCTTGTGAAGATACAGCTTTCTGATTAGTCCTTAATTTTCTCTCAGTATTCAAATATTGTAGATCAGTTGTTTTCTTGATCTTCGCCAGAACCCTGCTTCTCCTCCCCCATTAACTGGATTGGTTTTACTTTTTCTTTATATAGTAAGATTTGAGAAAATATTTTATTTAAAGAAAGTGTTTCATAGCTAAAAAAAAAAAAAGCCAATGAAACTTTCAACACATTTTTTTAATGTCATACTAGAGTGGATTTAGAGAAAATTCTCAAAACAGTCTCCTGGCTCCAGCCCTTACCCCTAATATTCCATATTCCAAACTTTGATGGATTAATTCTTCTAAAATACCACCTGGTGCATGTTTCCCATCTGTTCATAAGCCTTTGATCATATTCCATTACTTGCAGGTTAACGTTCACTCTTCCTGGCCTGAACAATTGGCACTTTTTGTATCTCCCTAAACCAGTGCTTTCAAAATTTTTAAGAGGGGAAAAGCATCACCCGTCAGTGATGTGAATCAGTGTGCCAAGAAATTAATATATGCCTTTGCCTTTGCATCATCAAGAGGGAATTTAATTTGCAGCATTTCCCAAAGTTATTTGAGTGTAGAAATTTTTCTTTCAACCTTTCTCAGGAGTAGTCTTTCCTTCAGAATATACTTCAAGAAATTTCTTGGCATCCACCTTTCATAGACACATCTTCTGTTACCCACAAATAATCCAATGGATCTTGAAACATGTCATGTATGTTCCCAGGTCCAAACCTTTTCTATGCTCTTACATATTCTTAAAATCCTCAAATGTACCTCCTGACACACACAACACACAAACATACACACCACGAACTCACACACACAATTAGCACCACTGCTGTTTACATTCCTCCTCCTGCGCCCTTAAACAAAAACACATCACCCGCATTTAAACAAGGTTGGGGCTCATTCTCTGGGAAGTCTTCCTTGAATATGCCAGTCCTTGGTGGTTGTCATATTTTCTGAAATTTTTCAGCATTTCTGACCTGAATAATTAACAACTGCTTCCTCATATTGTTCTGTAGATTTTTGCTTACTATCCTATGGTTCACAGCCATATTCTTTGCACATTCTTTGAATACTCAGTGCCTAGAAAAGCAATGGATCCATAGAAGAACTCATGAAATGTTTACTGTTGGTGACAACAATAATGATTGTAACCCAAATTGTTGCCTAACTGAAGATACAGGAAACAGAATTGTTGATTGTCAAAATAACAGGTTGAAAAAGCTACTCAGCTGATATTTTCTTAATGGACAAACAACTCTATTCTAGGAGAAAACAAATGTGTTTCCAAAAAACGTTCTCAAACTGGAAATGGTAAAAAAAAAAAAAAAAAATGGGAAAGCAAGGACTTGTTCAGTCAGAGATATGACAGGTATACAACATTTACTTCACTGAAGAAAAAAATCTCTCTGTTGTTCAGTATGCTCCTCCTCAGGGTGGTCCATGTGGCCCTGTGGCCCTATTCTGACTTCTTCTGAGATGCCCTGGTCCCAGCCCACCTTCCCACCTGCTGTTTCCCAGATTCCTTTTGGCTTTGGGTTTACCTTCAATTTTAAAGTTATGACCTGCAAACCCACTGTGACCCTAGTTCTATTAGAACATAATTTGGAGTATGTGGAGCATCTTTTGAAGGGAGTTGGATTATTTAATGCCAAGATGATCTCATACCAGAGTAATTTTACCAGAAAGCATTCCCATTTCATGGAAATTTCGACATCACCAGTGTGCTGAAAGCATGTCTGGAGGATCTGGTGCACTACCAGTACTTGGGGGTATCAGGACCACGGCAGAAGCCAGTTCCTTTCCCAGCCATTCTCCCACTCTGAATCTTTGTGAGACAAGCCCCTGATGGCAGCAAAACCAGCAGTACCTTTTTGCAAGACACAGACAGACTGAAGAACATCCACCATGTAACTTAACCTGCTCGCAGGAGGAGACATGATGATACCAGCTCTGCCTCCTTTGAAGTTCTCCTGCAAGCGAAACCAGACTTTTCCACTCTGACTTTGAGCGACCGCTGTTGATTCTCCAACATAAAGTGTCCATGATGGCTTCGCAGTGCACCAGGCCTCCTGCTTCCACTCAGATGAAAAGCCACATTTGGTAAAATACCAGAGAAAAGCTTGTATTACTTTTGGAAAAATAGATCCAGATGAGGCTTATGTGGTCTCTCACCCCCCAAATTCCTTTTAAAAATTTGAATTGGCTTCCAAACCAGTCTCAGAGAGACAGATTTGAACTCTCTCAATGGACATTTCAGATCTTGTGCATGCTTTCTGCCATTTGAGCCTGACTTGGACGCTGGTGCTAATAAGTTTA